CCAAACGGGGCGGTGCTTTCTGTCCTAAAAGTTCAGTCCTTACAGACTTCTGCTATGTTGTAAAACTCACCCAATGTAATTCGATTAGCAACTTTTATGGCAACATATTAGATTTACTGTTTGTCAATAACAGTGGTCAGTTCAACATTGATCATCTTATTCCAGCTCTGGTGCCGGAAGACAGACATCATCCAGCTCTCTTTATAACTGTTACCATTCCGTTGACCACTAAGAATTCTTCATTTCCATCTTCTAATAACTGCCGATACAACTTTCGTAGAGCTAATTTTTGTAGACTTTATGAAGATCTTTGTGATATTAACTGGTCATTTCTTGATTCAGTTGATGATGTGAATCTTGCCCTTGATAAATTTTATGATTCATTGTATCTAATTATTAACCTACATGTTCCTCTAACAAAGCCGAATAAGTCTAATTTTCCGCCCTGGATATCATCCGATATTAAGCAGATTATAAAAACAAAAAATTATCACAGACATCTATGGATGAGAACCCGTTGCCCTCATCATTATCAAGAATTTAAAAAATTGAGAGCTGTGCTGAAACGTCAAATATCCGTATCTTATAATTTTTACCTTGCTAAAATTCAAGAGGATGTTAAATCCAATCCTGCTGCGCTTTGGAGATTCTTACACCAAAAGAAAGGTACTTCCAGAATACCTAATCAACTTGTTGATGATGACAACACTGAATATGCCGAACCGCAGAAAATTGTTGATGCGTTTGCAAGTACATTTGAAAGAGCATTTTCCCCGGTTGATTCGTCTCCTCCTCAGTTCTCCTCTTGCTCATTGTCATCATTTTCATTATCTCATGTCAGGGAGGAAGATCTAATCCCTATAATGGCAAAATGCTCAAACAATCTAACTGCTGGAGATGATTCAATCCCTAGCTTCATGGTTCGAGACTGTAGGTTTTTGCTAGTGAAGCCTTTAGCCATAATAATAAACTTGGCGCTACGTTCAGGTTCGTTTCCGGGTCGTTGGAAAAGAAATAGAGTTATCCCAGTTTTAAAAAAGGATAACCCACATCTGTTAAGTAATTATAGACCGATCTCCATCCTTCCCAATTTTGCAAAAGTTTTTGAACAAGTTCTCTATCGGTGTATAGATGGTAACGTTCATAGCTACATTTCTGAGAACCAACATGGATTTATGACGGGGCGATCCACTGTTACAAATTTAGCTGTTTTAACCCAAGATTTATGTGAGTCACTTGATAGAAGGGGTCAGATAGATGTTATCTATACGGATTTTTCTCGTGCCTTTGACACTATATCGCACAACATCTTGCTCGTTAAATTGCATCGCTTTGGCTGCTCTGATACTTTACTGAAATTATTATCATCCTATTTAACGGGTCGGGTAAATTATGTATTTTACAATGGGTACACATCGTCTGAATTTATTTCTACATCAGGAGTCCCGCAGGGCTCCAATCTTGGTCCATTACTTTTTAACATTTACCTGAATGATCTCTTCTCCTCGCTAAGATGCTCCTGCCTCGCGTATGCCGATGATGTCAAGATCTACAATAATATTTCGTCGATAGTAGATACTGCACTACTTCAGACGGACCTTGACAAGATAGTGCAGTACTCATCCGAAAATAAACTGTTTTTGAACACAAAAAAGTGTTATTATGTCACATTTACACGTAAATTACAGCCAATTGTCACTTCATATAGCATCGGTTTAGAATCATTGGAACGAAAGACATCTATTAAGGACTTAGGAGTGATATTTGACTCGGAACTTACTTTCAATGACCACATACAATGCGTCAGCAGTTCTGCTAGTAAATCACTTGGCTTCATAATGCGTGTCTCTAAATATTTCAATGACATCGATCTGCTTAAGTCTCTTTTCTTTTCATTTGTGATGAGCAAGTTGGAGTATGCGTCAATTATATGGTACCCAATTTATTTGTGCCAACATATGCCACTAGATAGAATCCACAGGAAGTTCCTTAAATATCTGTCATATAAACTCGACGGATTTTATCCTAGTAGAGGTTGTGATATGGTGATCCTGCTCCAGCGTCATGGATTGATGTCCCTCTCATCTCGGCGTGATGGGCAGTGTGCGAACTTTATTGTAAAATTAATTAATAATAGGATTGATTGTGCGTCCTTACTATCGAAAGTTGAATTTAATGTGCCGCAATTCTCTTCACGACATGTAGTTACCTTTTATGTGCCGTCTCTACGCACGAACGTCTTATGCCGTTCACCGATTTCAGTGATGTGCAAATGTGCTAATAAGCTCGTGAGTGATGTTTTCTTGGGTTAGTTCTGTTTATATTATGATCGAGAGTGCTGATTTACTCGTATTTATTTATTTATTTTTTTTTTTATTTAGTTATTTGTATATTTATTATTATGTATTTTTTATATTTTGTCCTGTAATTAGGGAAACCTGTGGGACAATAAACTTATTATTATTATTATTATTATTATTAACACCAAAATCTTTAATTCCTCAAAACTCCGAAAACTCAAATCCTCAGAAATCCACAATCACCTAATCCTTAGAACAACGAAATTCTCAAATCCTTAGAACGCCCAATTCCTCAAATCCTCAGAACAGAAAAACCCTCAAATCCCCAGAAGAGCGAAATTCTCAAATCCTCAGAACTCCATAATGCTCAAATACTCAGAATACCAAAATCCTCAATTCCTCAAAACAGCGAAATCCTCAAATCCTCAAAACCTCATAATCCTTAAATCCTCAGAACACCAAAATCCTCAATTCCCCAAAACTCCGAAACCTCAAATCCTCAGAAATCCACAATCCCCAAATCCTTAGAACAACGAAATCCTCAAATTCTCAGAACTTCATAATCCCCAAATCCTCAGAACAGCGAAATCCTCAAATCGACAGAACTTCATAATCCTCAAATCTTCAGAAAACCAAAATACTCAAATCCTCAGAACAGCGAAATCCTCATATCCCGAGAACTCCAAAATCCTCAAATCCTCAGATCACCAAATTGAGAATTTTGGTGATCTGAGAATTTGAGGATTTATTTGAGGATTTCGCTGTTTTTAGGATTTTGACGTTCTGAGGATGTAAGGATTATGGAGTACTGAGAATTTCAGGGTTATGGAGTTCTGAGGATTTGGGGATTTCACTATTTTGAGGATTTAAGGTTTCCGCTGTTCTGAGGATTTGTGGATTTGGACTTCTGAGAATTTGAGAATTCTGCAGTTCTGAGGATTTGAGGATTTGGGAATTGTGGGGATTTGAGGATTTTGGAGTTCGGAGGATTTGAAAATCTTGGGGTTCTGAAGATTTGGGAATTTCGCTGTGCTGAGGATTTGAGAATTTTGGTGTTCTGAGAATTTCAGGATTTCGCTGCTTTGAGGATTTGAGAATTTTTCCATAATCCTCAAATTCTCAGAAAATCAAAATTCTCAAATCCTCAGAACTCCGTAATCCTGAAATTCTTAGTACCCCCCAAATATTCAAATCCTCAGATCACCAAAATTCTCAAATCTTCAGAACAGCGAAATCCTCAAATCCTCAGAACAATGAAATTCTCGAATCCTCAGAACACCATAATCCTAAAATCCTCAGAACACTATAATCCCCAAAACTTCTAAACTCCATATTCCTCAAATCCTCAGAACCCCATAATCCGCAAATCATCAGAACACCATAATTATCAAATCGTCAGAACAGAGAAATCCTCAAATCCTCAGAACTCCATAATCTTCAAATTCTCAGAACTCCAAAATCCTCAAATCTTCAGGACTGCAAAATCCTCAAATCCTCACAAGTCCAGATACCTCAGATCCTCCGAACGCCATAATACTCAAGTCCTCAGATCTCCATAATGCCATAATCCTCAAATTCTCAGAATTCCAAAATCCTCAAATCCTCAGAACACCAAAATCCTCAAATGCTCAGGACTTGAAATCCTCAAATCGTCAGAATTCTATAATCCTCAAATCCTTAGAACACCAAAATCCTCAAAACCTCAGAACTACGAAATCCTTAAATTCTCAGAACTCCAAAATCCTCAAAACCTTAGAACACTATAATCCTCAAATTGTCAAAACACCATAATTTTCAAATCCTCAAAACACCATAATCATCAGATCTTTAAAGCAGCATAACCTTCGAATCCTCAGAACAACAAATTCTTCAAACACTCAAAACACCTTAGTCCTCAGATCGTCAGAGCACCATAATCCTCAAATCTTCATAATACTATAATCACATAAAAATTTTGGGTGTCCTAGACTTTGCTTTAACAACCATTCGCATTTTGAACGTGGTATGGATGTAAGCCTTGCCGGTGAATGCTGATCTCGAGCTCTTCTTCGATTCGTTTCAAAATTTGTTCTTCTGCTTGCAGTATTCTTTCGATCTTACCACGAAAAAAATCACCAATTTAGTTACATTCGTTGAACATATGTAATCTCACTGTTAGATCCGTTCCTTCTATATACAGTCGGAGCCAGAGAATCTTGGACGTCAGTGTCATCTTCATCTCGCTGTCACAGAGTGTATACTTTTTCTAACCTTATTTTTTTAGTTGTGTCATTTTTTGCGTCTTATTTATTAATAATCTAACATTAATTTTCTGTTTTTGTCGAAATGCCATTATTTTTAGAAAAATTATGATCAGTTTTCACCAGTAGGTAAAGCTACTGGTAAACTTCTAATTAGTAAACGCCCAGATTAGAACTAGAAATCAATTGTTGTGACCAAACACATTTCTCTTTTAACAAAATTAGTTTTAATTGTCGATCATTTCGTGAACCTAATTTTGAAAATAGACATTTTTGCTTTTACTTTTGTCATTTTTGACATTTTGTCAGTGTCGACTTGCTAAATCCTTTCCAGGGATGACTCACTTACGACTTATGTTCAAACAACCACAGCCACCCCCCGTTTTCGGAACCATCAAATTTAAATCTCCTCGAACCCAGCACCCACCACACTACCACTACCATACCTCTTCATCTTCAGCGGACCCAGCAGTCCACCACGACACGCAGACCAGTTCGCTTCTCTCCCATTCTCGCGCCTTTAAAAGTGCAGTGCCCCATCGACCCATCATAACGGATTAACCCACCATCCGCAACGGTATGCCAGTCCCATAAGCTTAACCTAAAAATGCCGTTCGACGATTTTTGCATATCGACGAAACCGGTCCGCCGTGACGGAGGTCAAGTTTTCGCACATAAATTTAACGGTTTATCGCACAGCCCGAGCCGACTGCCGAGGGCGCACACCCTGTATATGCCGCGGTGGCGCGAAAAAACGCATTGTGGAAATTGCTTTCACTTTTCATTCGGTGAAGTAATCGCTTATTTTTTTAGTCTGAGTAAAGTAATTTGTCGGTTTTGGTTGGAAACGCGGAATGGAGCGCTGAGGTTAGACGTTTTATTTTTTATTATTACGATTTTTTTTGAGGCGTGAGAAAATGCGGATTTGGTTTGAAAAGAATTTTCAAAATTTTGCAAGGTTGGCGCAATCAAAGCAACCAGATAATTTTCGAGCACGCCTCACCGAACGTGATTAAAAAACGCAGTTAATATAGATGCATGTGGAAATTATTCAATAATTAAAACACTCCAATGTCAGAAGTATAAAAAATAGATTTCAATAGCAATCGTGTGCTCTTTACAACCTAGCGGAATTTTTCTAATTTAGCAATAATTATAATAAATAGTGTGAAGCGAAAAAAACTGTTGCATTTGTGCAGACATAACTAGCTCTGATTTAATTAATTACTTGCAATTTTAAGGCGTATAAAATGAATAAATAATTTTTTAACATTCCGTGAATTCTAACCTAAAAAGTAATTACGACATTGTTGAGTTCCAGATTTACAAATTGCTCCAGTCTGTGACCAAAAAAGTTACTCGGCTAAGTCGGAATTTGCATTAAATTTTTGTTTCATGCAGGTTGCGCTTGTTACACAGCGGTTTTTTCCTGTTTTTACACACATTGTGGCAGAGTTTAAGATTCTTCGTATGTACAGAGCGAAAACAGGAAACTAGAGAGTGTGTGTAATCCTCCAACAAACAGTTTAAAGTTTGAAGTGTGACATCCGTGTACGAGTTTGTCGTTTCTGGGTAAAAGTGGTCGTTTAAGCGGGTTTTATATGTTGAAACTTTTAGTATTAAAAAAAGTGGTAAAAATGATAAATCTTGATTCTGAGCACTTGTATAGGAAATTACAGCCTATAAATCAGATTTAGCACCCTATATTTTTTTGTGATTGTCTCCGACCGTCTAAAAATTTTTATATGGAAAACATTTTATCATTGAATAACTAAAAGTTGACTCAAAAAAATATAAAGCTGAAAAATAAAAAAAAAATAAAAGTGAAAAATTGGGTAATTTTAAAATTGAAAAATTGAAAAATCGGATATCATAAAACTATAAAATTGAAAAATTGAAAATCAAAATTTTAAAAAATTAAAAATCGAAATTTTGAAAAATAAAAAATTGGAAAATTACAAAATTGAAAAATTGGATAATTGTGAAACAAAAAATTATCAAACCGAAATTCGAATGATTTTAAAATCAAAACATTGAAAGATAATTATAAAATGGAAAAATAACAACATGTAGAAAAAATGCAAATTATTAAACTGAACATAAAAAATTCTAAAAATTAAATATCGAATTTGTGAAAAATTAGCAATCAAAAAACTGGAAAATTGAAACAATATACATATTTGAAAAAATGAAAAATGTAAAAATCAAAAAGTTATAAAACTGAAAATTGAGAAATTGATTAATAAAAGGCAAATAATTCAGACATGCAAAAGTTTTAAAAATCTAAAATCGAAAAATCAAAGAGTGAAAAATGAAAAACTTGGGGAATTAAAACTGAAATTTACAAATTACAAAATTCACTATTCGGATAAATGTAAACTCGAAAATATATTAAACAATAAAAATGCAAAATTATTACTTTAAAAAACGAAAAATCGAAAAATTAATAAATCAAAGGACTGATTTATTAAAAGCTGGACAACTGCAAATCGTATAATTTTAAAATTGAAAAAATCAGGCAACTGTAAAATGAAAAAAATTCAAAATTGAAAAATCGAAAAATTGCAAAATTATGAAATTAAAAAAATCAGAGAATTGGAAATCGAAAGTTTGAAACATTAAAAATCAAAGAATTAGAAAATGGAAACGATTCGGATAATTGAAATATCAAAAATTGAAAAATCTGATACTTTTGTACATGTATATACGAAAACTTGTAAAATAATTAAACTGCAAAATAAAAAATTTGAAAAATTAAAATTGAAATTTTGAACAATCAAAAATCAAAAAATTGAAAACTTTTAAAATTACGAAATTGGAAAACTGGGTGTTTGTAAAATCTATTAAATTATTAAAATTATTAAATTGAAAAATTGAAAAATCAAAAACTGAACACCTGATTCGTTAAAAACTGTACAGTTGAGAAATCGGAAAATTGTAAAAAAAATATAAAACGGAAACAATGAAATTCGGATTGTTGAAAATTCAAAAATTGAAAAATCGGACCTCTCGAAGCGAAAAATTAGAAAATAATTACACTTAAAAATTAAAAATCTGAAAAATTTAAAATGAAATTTTGAACAATTAAAAGTCAAAAAATTAAAAATTTGTACAATTACAAAATTGAAAAATTAGATAATTTTAAAATTGTAAAAATCCAATAATTTTAATATCGAAAAATGGGATTATTGTAAAATCAAAAAACTAAAAAATTCAAACTACATATTTGAAAAAGTGAAAAATTTTAAAAACGAATATTTCTAAAATAAATTGTAAATTGAGAAATAGATTAATAAAGACGAAATAATTGACACATCTAAAAGTTGTAAAAATCTAAAATTAAAAAATCAAAGAATGTAAAATTAGAGAATTGAAAAATCGGGTAACTGTAAAATCGAAAATTTATTAAACAATAAAAATCGAAAATTGCAAAATTATTGCATTGAATACTGAAAAATCGAAAACTTAATAAATCAAATGATTCCAAAACCGAAAAATTGAAAACATAGAATTTGAAAAATCTGATAACTGAAAAATCTAAAAATCGAAAAATGAATCATTAAAAACTGGACAATTGAGAAATCAAAATTCTAAAAATATAATACATACTGAAAAAGCAAAAATTTGCAAAATTACTAACTGAAAAATCGTATAATTTTAAAATTTAAAAATTAAAAAATCAGACAACTGTAAAACAGAAAAATTACAAAATTGAAAAACCGAAAAATTGCAAAATTATGAAATCAAAAAAAATCGGAAAATTGGAAATCGAAATTTTGAAAAATTAAAAATCGAACAATTAAATAATCGAAGCAATGAAATCCTGATAAATTGAAAAATCGGATACCTTTATATACGAAAAATTGTAAAATAATTAAACAGCAACATAAAAAATTTGAAAAATTAAAATTGAACAATCAAAAATCTAAAAACTGTTAAACTGTAAAAATTAAAAATTTCAAAATCGAAGGCTTTTAAAACCGAAAAATTGCAAAATCAAGGAATTGAAAAATCTGAAATTTGAAAAATTAAAAATTGAAGACTGATTCATTAAAAACTGGGTAATTGAGGAATCGAAAAATTATAAAAAAAATATAAAACTGAAAAACAGTACAGTTTTCCAATTGAAAAATAAGTTTTGAAATAGAAAAATTACAAAACTGAAAATTTGCAAAATTATGAAATTAACAAAATCAGAAACTCAAAAATTGAAAATCGAACTTTTGAAATACTGAAAATCAAAAAATTAGAAAATTCTAACAATTAAATTCAGGTTATTGAAAACTCAAAAATTGAAAAATCGGATGCCTCTAAAAACGAATAATTCGAAAATAATTACACTGAAATATCAAAAACCTGAAAAATTAAAGTTGAAATTTTGAACATTTAAAAATCAAAAAATAAAAAAATGAAAAATTGCAACATTATTAAATGGAAAAATCTGATAACTGAAAAATGAAACTTTGAAAAACTGATTAATTAAAAACTTGTCAATTGAGACATCGAAAAATTCTAAAAATATAAAAATGAAAAACCAAAAAATTACAAAATTACAAAACTAAAAAATCGTGTAACTTTGTAATTGAAAAATTGAAAATCAAAATTTAGAAAAATTAAAAATAAATTGAAAAATCTAAAACTGTACAATTGAAAAAACGACACATTTTAAAAACGAAAAATTGTAAAATTGAAAATTGTGAAATTGATTAATAAAAATGTAAACTCTAAAACCAATAAACAATTAAAATGAAAAATTGCAAAATTATTAGGTACATTTAAAATTAAAAAATCGAGAATTTGGAAAATCTAATAACTGAAAGATTGAAAAATGGAAAACTGAATCATCAAAAACTGGGCAATTAAGAAAGCCAAAAATTTGCAAAATTACTACCTGAATATACGTAGAATTTTAAAATTAAAAAAAAATTGAAAAATTGAAAAATCAGTCAATTGTAAAATAAAAAAAATACAAAACTGAAAAATCGACAAATTGCGAAATTATGAAATTGAAACATTAAAAATCAAAGAATTAGAAAATCGAAACAATGAAATTCGGATAATTGAAAAATCAAAAATTGAAGAATCGAATACTTTTAAAAATTAAAATTGACGTTTTTAACAATCTAAAGTGAAAAAAATGAAAATCAAAAAATTAGAAAATTGAAGCAATAAAAATCGGATTATTATTGCAAATTCAAAAACTGAAAAATCGAATAAAAAATGAATTAAAAATAAAATTGCAAAATTGAAAAATTGGGTAATTTTAAAATCGAAAAATTATGAAACAGTAAAAATGAAAAATTGCAACTTTAATAATTGGAAAAATCGAAAAATTGTAAAATCGAAGGTTTCCAAAACTGAAAAATTGAAAAATCGTGAAATTGAAACATCTGATAATAATTGAAAAATCAAATTTTGAAAAACTGATTCGTTAAAAACTGGACAATTGAGAAATCGAAAAATTATAAAAAATAAAACTGAAAAAAAATGAAAAATTGAAGAAAAATGGCAAAATTATGGAATTAAAAAGTCAAAAACTCGGAAAATTCAAAATCGAAATTTTGAAATATAGAAAAA